ATAGCTGGGATTGCTGGTAGCATAGGGCCTGAGGAGGGAATCTACATAGCCAGACAATCCTGCTGTCTGGGTGCCAATGCCTGAGATGATGGGGTGTCCAGGATTTCCAGGTTTATGGATCTTGGGTAGCAGATAGAATACCGCAGGTCGGGGTTCCAGGGGTGTGTCTGTGCGAATTTGTTCTTGTGCTTTTTCAGGGATTTTCTTGAGCAAATGGTGTAGTTTCTTTTGGTAACCCTCAGTGGGATCAGAGGGTAATGGCTTGTAGAAAGTGGTGCTGGAGAGCTGCCGAGCAGCCTCTTGTTCATATTCCGACCTATTCATGATGATGACAGCACCTCTTTTGTCAGCCTTTTTGATTATGATGTCAGAGTTGTTTCTGAGACTGTGGATGGCATAATCAAGGATCTACAACCTATCCTGAAGGACGACCCATCACTTTCACAGATCTTGGGAGACAGGCCAGTCCTTGCTTACAGACAGCCCCCCAACCTGAAGCAAATACTCACCAGCAACCACACACCACACAACAGAACCACTAACTCAGGAACCTATCCCTGCAACAAAGCCCGTTGCCAACTGTGTCCACATATCTATTCAGGGGACACCATCATAGGGCCTAATCACATCAGCCACACTATCAGAGGCTCGTTCACCTGCACATATACCAATGTGATAGATGCCATCAAGTGCCAGCAATGCCCCTCTCCCATGTACATTGGTCAAACTGGACAGTCTCTCCATAAAAGAATAAATGGACACAAATCAGATGTCAAGAATTATAACATTCAAAAACCAGTTGGAGACCACTTCAATCTCTTTGGTCACTCGATTACAGACCTAAAAGTTGCAATTCTTCAACAAAAAAACTTCAAAAACAGACTCCAACGAGAGACTGCTGAATCGGAATTAATTTGCAAACTGGATACAATTAACTTAGGCTTGAATAGAGACTGGGAGTGGATGGGTCATTACACAAAGTAAAACTATTTCCCCTTATTTATTGTGCACCACCACCCACTGTTCCTCAGATGTTCTTGTCAACTGCTGGAAATGGCCCACCTTGATTATCACTACAAAAGGTTTTTCCCCCCCCACTTTCCTGCTGGTAGTAGCTCACCTTAAGTGATCACTCTCATTACAGTGTGTATGGTAACACCCATTGTTTCATGTTCTCTATGTATATAAATCTCCCCACTGTATTTTCCACTGAATGCATCCGATGAAGTGAGCTGTAGCTCACAAAAGCCTTATGGTCAAATAAATTAGTTAATCTCTAAGATGCCACAAGTACTTTTTCTTTTTGCGAATACAGACTAACACAGCTCCTACTCTGAAACCTATAAAATAAAGGATTTGATAACATAACTGTTATTTTAGAAATACTATTTCTTAATACATAACTATTCTCAGATCTGAAACTAATTGTATAGAGCAAAATCCTGAAGCCCTTACTTAGTCCTCACTCAGCCAAAACACTCATTGGCCTGAATTTTGAAGCCTTTACTCAGCCAGAGTTCTCATTGGAATTAATAAAAATTTGTCTGAGTAAATAATTTCAGAATTTGATCCCTGTCATGTGGACCTTTGTCACTTGTCAATGTATTTCCCTACAACAAGACAGCTTTGGAATTTCTTGAAAATAGCAATACATAGCGTGCTTTGTACTTATCAATGCATCATTAACTCTGTCTTTGCATTCGGTGTGGACTTGATTCCTGTTTAACATACCTTTCATGGCAGAAGTGTCTGAGGCACCTCACAAAATCATAAACAATAAGTACGGGTTCATTAAACAAAAACTTTTAGAGAACAACTCTAATGTTCGTCTCTATTTAGAAACAGAGACTCAGCAGGGATAGGTTTCATACTTTAAGTACATTGATGTAAAATCTAAATCCCTCAGGTTAAGGTACCAAATTGGGTACAGACAAAAAATGTTGGTCAATCACAAAGTCTGACATGATTCACAGTGTCAATCATTCACTTATGTAAACTGAACAAAAGACTTATCTTAAAGACTAATAAGCCAACTTTGTATCCTGTGTGATCTGTAAGAGAAAGTCAATGTGTATTGTAATTTTGTTTGGTTTTGCTTCCTTTCAACTTATGCCATACTGTTCAAGTATTTATGGGTCAATTTTCTGTGCAATGCATGGGGAACTAGGCATAATATTAACGTTAATGTTAATAGTTGTTTCACAGCTGTAGCTCTGCATATTACATTGAAAATTTGTTTATCACTGTTACGTATTAGTCTGCTGCAGTAGTATGTTACTCTCAAAAGGAATATGGAAGAGCTTTAGTTCAGAGTGTTACCAGAATTTAAAATAGGAGGTTAACTAAAAAACAAAGTGTTTCATTCTTTTATATGAGCACTATAACCTATTTAAGTATTTGAATTCTTGTTGTATGACATGGCCAAGTAAACTAGACTGTAGAATTCATGCCCTGCTTCAGAAAGAATGGTTTGATTCCTTGTGCTGTCAGTTGAGCTATGTTTCTAATATTGTGGCAATGGCATTTCATATCTCAGTGCTCCAGCAAAATGGAATCCTCTCTCAAGCACTGTTCCTTAGGGAAAATAAAAAACATGGAAGATTTGTGATGTCATGTTATTGTAACAAAATCTAGATGGACTAGACTTTTCTGTAATAAATGGTAAAGTCTGCCCTATTAATATGTGCTCCTGTGAACAGCTGTGATTATTTTTATAGTGAGTGGGGATGGGAAAAAAGATCACTGAAGGCATGCAAGCAAGGATGTGATAGTCACAAGCAATATTTCTGTCTGGTAGCTGAAGGCTCGCTCTGAGCCTGAGGGATCATAAGTAGCTTGGATTATATACATCATGTAAACATCTGTTTATCCTAGCATGCAGAGGTAGATTAGATGTTTGTGGGGCTGTGGGCCAGCGCCAGGGGGGTCCCTCCCCACCCGTTTCACCTGAAGTCCCCACTGACCCCTCCCCCAGTGCTTCTGCCAGGGAAATGGGTTGGGGCGCAGGGGCTCGCCCCACCCTGCTCCCCTGACCCCCAGCACTCCTGACGGGCAGCAGGCTCAGGGCACTGGGGCACCCATTTTTCTGGGTGTCCCCAATTGGCCGGAGCCCCTGGGGACAGTCCCCATTGACCCAGTGGCTAATCTGCCACTGCTAGCACAGACATCACCTGATAAGTACTGGGTTCCGTCATATAGAGGTGACAATAAAATACACATATAGATACTCTACATAAAGGTAGATGAGGATATGGTAGGAGCTACAGAAAGCTAACAGCTAAATATTTTCTAAAGTGAACACACGTTAACGAAGATCTGTTTTAAAAGGAGATCTGTAAGGGCCTGATCCAAAGTCAATGAAAAGACTCCCATTAACTTCAGCAGGCTTTGGATCCAGCCCTGAAAGCACCAATATGGATATTTAAATGTGTTTGGATAATGCAGTTGCTTATACATATCCTCAAATGATTTTCAATCATTAGAGTCAGCCTTTCTCTGCTTAGATATAGAACAATCAGCCCAGCAGACTCTCCCAAAGCACTCATCTATCTTCACATTGTCTGGCTACGCCAGAAGAAGGACAGGAGGCACTGGAGGTGGTTTAATTTGGCCTCAACTTTATTCTTAACTCTCTGGGAGTATCCAGTAGATAAAAGTGTACAGTGCAGGAAATGCCATAATCATTTTCATATAATACCAGGGGGCTTCCGTCAGCCCTCCCCCTTACCAATCTTGGACACCAGCCAAACCACTGCTGGGACCTCACCATCCCCCCCTTGACTGAGGGCTGGGGGGGAGGGGGGAGGGCATCCTGCCATTACCAGTCATAGGAGCCTCAAACCCCCTCCCTTACCCCCCGATTTTCCCTCTCTCAATGAATACCTCCTTTAAATCCTTTGCCAATCCATTTTATCTGACCACTGTATCTTTTCACAATGGAGTACCTGCACTGGACATCCACCCCATGTTTACATAATGAGTTGCAACATCATAGCCTAATGCCCATTCCATGATTGCCCCAACTGAGCCCTCCCAAAACCACAGTGGGGAAGGCAAAAAGACCCTTCACTTTGCCTTTGCCAATCTGGCGGTGAGGGAAGAATTCCTTCCCAGCCCTGCAAGAAAGGAGCGAGAAGTGCAAATGCTCACAGCAGATCCTGACAATCTGCTATTTCACCACTTCCATGGGAGAGAGTGGGGGTGCTGCTCCACCTGGTCCAGGGGAAAAAAAAAAGAGGACTTTGTCTGCCTGGCATGGACCTATATAGTACTCTCTCTCTTCTGGTCACTCGGAGGAGGGATGGATGCTGACCTGCTCTGCAGCTGCTATAAAAGTCACTCTAACCCCTTAAAGTGGGGCACATTTTCCTGTGTGGTGTGCTCATTGTTAAAGTTAGCAGTTGGGGGGAAAAGGCAAAGGCAGCACTCTGAAAGAAAGATGTTCTGTCTCCTGTAAAAGAGGACCAGTAGATCCATGTTGAGACAAATGAATGATATGCATTTAAAGATTATCTGAAGGTTTGTTTGTCAGTCTGTCTTTCTACTGCTGGTAATAGCTCACCATAAGTGATCACTCTTGTTACAGTGTGTATGGTAACACCCATTGTTTCATGTTCTCTGTGTATATAAATCTCCCCACTGTCTTTTCCACTGAATGCATCTGATGAAGTGAGCTGTAGCTCACGAAAGCTTATGTTCAAATAAATTTGTTAGTCTCTAAGGTGCCACAAGTACTCCTTTTCTTCTTTCTAATCAGTGAATCAGACTTAAGGAATGATGCTTCTGTTGGCGTTGTTGCTCTCTAATCTTTACAGTGTCTGGGAACGTCTGGTAACACAAGTGATTATACTTACCGGTCAAAAACAAACTTATTTTCTAGCATAATTCTGAGGTATAGAAGCCACCTGAAAATATCCAGAGGATCTTTCTTTTAATTTGTTAATGTTAGAGGTGACTGTTAATATTAACTGATTTTTTTGTTTCTAATCATTATTTTTCAGAAATTTTACTGTTGTTAATTCCAAAATCATTGTCGTCACTATAAGGCCTGAACCTAAAACAGCGGATTCATTTCTAGAGATAGAGTTAGCACATCTGGCTAATGTAAGTATTGCTGCAGAGAATCTTTATTTCTAGTTGTATTCTTCTTAAAAAAAAAAAAAAGGACTAATTTGCCTGATAAAAGCAAAGCACAGAGGTACACAGCATACTCTGAATAGACTGTTTTCATGTTGCATGCGTACAGAACTGTGTGACCCTTTGTTTCTGTCATTCTTATGGTTTTCATTTATACAGCAATTTTCATAGGGAACTCTACATTAACTGCTTTGATAGATACAATGGCAAATGTAGTATTTGTCCATTGGTTTCCCTTTTGTTACCAGATGAGGTCCATAGTGCAACACAAGCTTCAGGCCTTTTCTTACTTTTTTCTTTGCCATTATGTGATACATGAAAGGACAATTCATATTTGACTACACTATCAGAATATGAAAATGCAGCCTCACTCCAGTTTGCAAGTTCTACAAATTCACAAGATCTTGTTTTTTCTGCTATTTTCATGTCCTGTAATTTTAATTTAAAGAGTTTAAAGCCAAAAAAAAGCCTCTAAATGTAATTCCATATTAAAGAGTGGCTAAAGTTGTACAGAAATTTCAAACAATTTCTTCCTGCTGCTTTCAGCTACCTCTTGATATCAAAGAAAACTTTTACAGGAAAGTTGTGTGAAATAAGACATCCAGGTAAGAACAAGGCCTATCGATATTGCTAGTGATGTCTGAGACATCATAATATGCAGAATTTCTGCCTGACTTTTTACATTGGTAATGAAGAGTTAGAAGTTATATTGAGTCAAGGAGGAAAGAGACATTTAAGAAAGGCATATAAAATAAAGTTATTGTATTAACATAAAATACTTCAAAGTTAATAGCATTTTGTTAAATTTTATGGGACAAGTTCTCTATTGGCCTATTCAAATGCAATTTCACTGACATTAAAGGAGTTGCACTCAGCCTCTTGTGGATTTGACCCAAAGACTGTACGAAACTGGATGGCTCTCGGAATTTATGTGGCAATCTGGCCCATTCAGCTCTAAGTTTTTGGTTTACATCCAGCCCAGGCTGGAAGTGACAGAATATTATTACCATCCACTGATTTTTCAGTAGTTGGTATGAAATGAGTTTTATGGTCTCATCCAGTTCCTGGTGATCAGGTATTACAAAGAACATCACAACTGATCCTCATGGTCAAGTTTAGCAGACAGGAAAAGATGGAACAAGCAAGGACTCTGAGCTACCCTCTGAATCCTAGAGGTAGTATTTTAAAGTAAGGGTTGACACACATTGATGTGGCAGTGTGGGGAAGCTTTTACACTGTTGCAGCCAGTGTGGTACCTTGTCTATGGATTAACAGAAACTTCAATCTCCAGCACTGTCAGGAACAGAAATTTCACTAAAAAAACATAATGGGCTGTATTCAGTCAGATTACTTTGAGGCATGGGCCACAAATGAACATGGAAGCTTGATCTTAGTACTTCATGTCTATTTATCAGAAAAGCCAGACAGCTTGTGGAAAATATTTCCCTTGCTGTATTTAGGTAAGTCAGATCACAGAGATCTTCAGATGAGCTCAGGACACTTCTAGATCTTTGATTTTTGTTTATATTATTTTACTATTTATTAGTTGTGGAGTTATTTTTACAGCTCATAAAAAAGGGATGTGAAAGGATCATTTCATATGTGGAAACATGAATGGTTAGTCACAGGCTATAGCCCAGGTAGACAAGGGAAAGAAAAGAGAAGATTGTAATGAATTTGTTCATAGCTGTAAGACAAGAGGTAAGGAACAATCAAGTTAATATCAGTAAACTCTGTCTCAGTGTTGAAATCAACTAATAAATCCAAAATAAGCAAGTAAAATGGCATGACATAAACAAGGCAAAAGGAAGGTTAAATGAATGTCTTCACAAGTTGATTTCTAGAAAAGACATTAAAGAGGGACCTGTTTCTTCAGCTTGTTTGTTTTATTGTTCTTTTTTAAAATGTACACACCCAGCACTTGCCCATTTTCCAGTTCTTTAGAAAGGTTCATTCTGGCAATGGAAGATCATAGAATCATAGAATCATAGAATATCAGGGTTGGAAGGGACCCCAGAAGGTCATCTAGTCCAACCCCCTGCTCGAAGCAGGACCAATTCCCAGTTAAATCATCCCAGCCAGGGCTTTGTCAAGCCTGACCTTAAAAACCTCTAAGGAAGGAGATTCTACCACCTCCCTAGGTAACGCATTCCAGTGTTTCACCACCCTCTTAGTGAAAAAGTTTTTCCTAATATCCAATCTAAACCTCCCCCACTGCAGCTTGAGACCATTACTCCTCGTTCCGTCATCTGCTACCATTGAGAACAGTCTAGAGCCATCCTCTTTGGAACCCCCTTTCAGGTAGTTGAAAGCAGCTATCAAATCCCCCCTCGTTCTTCTCTTCTGCAGGCTAAACAATCCCAGCTCCCTCAGCCTCTCCTCATAACTCATGTGTTCCAGACCCCTAATCATTTTTGTTGCCCTTCGCTGGACTCTCTCCAATTTATCCACATCCTTCTTGAAGTGTGGGCCCCAAAACTGGACACAGTACTCCAGATGAGGCCTCACCAATGTCGAATAGAGGGGAACGATCACGTCCCTCAATCTGCTCGCTATGCCCCTACTTATACATCCCAAAATGCCATTGGCCTTCTTGGCAACAAGGGCACACTGCTGACTCATATCCAGCTTCTCGTCCACTGTCACCCCTAGGTCCTTTTCCGCAGAACTGCTGCCTACCCATTCGGTCCCTAGTCTGTAGCTGTGCATTGGGTTCTTCCGTCCTAAGTGCAGGACCCTGCACTTATCCTTATTGAACCTCATCAGATTTCTTTTGGCCCAATCCTCCAATTTGTCTAGGTCCTTCTGTATCCTATCCCTCCCCTCCAGCGTATCTACCACTCCTCCCAGTTTAGTATCATCCGCAAATTTGCTGAGAGTGCAATCCACACCATCCTCCAGATCATTTATGAAGATATTGAACAAAACCGGCCCCAGGACCGACCCTTGGGGCACTCCACTCGATGCAGGACATCGATTGTGATCTGGCATTGTCTACCTTTCTGTAACAGGACATTAATGAGTACTGTATTAGCGCAGGACTAGGAAGTGCTGACAAGGCAAGAGGATAGTAACCTTGTCAATAACATTATGGACCTGGCACTGTTTTCTTCTGGCTCAGTTTTAGCTCAATAATATTTTACTCCAAATATCTGAAAGTTTTCTCCAAATTATACAGCCAGACCACTGCCCCCACGTGGAATCTCACTGAGGTCACTGTTACACCACATGAATACGGGAGTTATCCTGTGCCGATCCAATTGCAGGATCCTGGCCTAAAAACTGGGAACAGAAACTGGTTTTACAGTTTTGAATGGCTTTAATGTTTAGTGGTTTTCTGTTCATGATAGTTTCCCAGATGAGATTTTATATAAAGAAGAGCAGTTGGAGATTCTGTGGCACATTCTCTGATTTGTGTCTTTTGCCTTTTGATCTTCATTTTCTTTATTAGAATTTACCTCAGTTGAAAATTAGAATCTAATTTTCTCTAATTATGTCTTAATATACCGTAATCTGTCTTTGAACTTTGTACATCATACACAGTAATTAAGGTGAAAATGGTTTTACTTCATCTCTAGACTTTGATTGTTATACATTAATGGCTCAGAGTTTAATCATGATGTCAATTAAGTGGGCTAATTATTAAATTAATTAAATTAAATATTAAATAGGAATTAAAATACAGACATTTTATTCCAATTAATCTTTTCTAGAAGTTTTCTTTGTGTTGTTGCTGTTTTCAAACTTTGCCTCTTTTAATATTACCTATACTATACGAATCAAAAAAGTCTGTTGTTGAATGGATTAATGATTATCTTATGACTTCTAAAATGTGCTCATGTATCTGTGGGAGTATAGTTACATTTTTTAATTTTTATTTTTGTTAATTATTTGTCCACTGATTGATTAAACTAAATTATATTATGTGTACATCTGAGATGTAGAGGGGCTCCTTGCACAAACATGCATAATAATTGTGAAAAAGACATATGCGCATGTGAAAACTCCTGTTGTTCACAGCTGGAATACTTCAGGTCTTTATTTTCAAACAATGAAATATGAATTAATAAATTCCATTCTAACTATCCATAATAGGTGTTCATGTGCTCAAAATGAATACATTATTATAATTGCATTTTACACTCAAATTTGGTATTTATTCATAAAATTGAATTATTTTACATATATATATCCTACCCATCAGTGGTATACCCAAATATCCTACCCATCAGTGGGGTGTGTGTGTGTGTGTGTGTGTATACACACACCCCACTGATGGGTAGGCTATTTGGAATACAGCACTGTATTTGAACTTGTAGATGATTTTAAATATAGCGCTGACCATGGTACTCTGTAACATGCTAATGTAGCTTGCAGTGTGTTGCTCACCGTACATGGTATTTAATGCCATCCAGTATGATCACAGGTGGATTACATGAGCAGTATGATCACGATTGTAACATTTTTCTACTAGTTATGCTGGAAAAGGCACCAACATCATGGACTTTGTTCCAGAAAGAATGTGAAATATCATCTCCTAATTTTGCAAAACCTCTGCTCTTATATCAATGGACAATGCAGTGGCAATCTAGTAATATTATGGGAGTTAAAGCTTCTGGTTATGATTACTTCCACTGAAACTTTGACTTCCAATTATTGTGGGCCTACATAGCATGCACAATTGTGCACCATGTCTTGAATACTGAAAGTTTTATGTGCCACACCTACGTATTTCTATTCCCAATGTGTCAAGGATTTTTGGAGGAATGTGGGTGACATTTATGCTGCTCTCAGTGTTACAGCTTCATCTCTTATTCATTTTTATGGTGACTCAACATACTCCCCTCTCCATGTGAATGAGCTCCAAAAGGGCCACAGATTTGTGAAAACTACATGGATTTATCACTTCCTTAAACCTTCCCACAGAGTCCTCTATTTGCCTTGGTGACTGGCATTGCTTGAAATTTTCTTCTTTAAAATCATTCTTTTAGTTAAGTCTGAGCAGTCACCTTTTTCTCAAAGCATTTTCAAGTCCTCTCTCCTTGCAGTGTGGAAAGAGATGGTGTAGGCTGTGCATCACCAAGAAAAAAATCACAGCTACCTGAATGTATACTGGCATCAGTTTGAGGCATAGCTTTTACGTATGATTATGACTGCATAAGAATGAATATAGGCAGATTACTTCAAGTCTCAAGACACTTTCAAGCTGCTGAATCCTCTGTTTTTTCTAACTTTCCTGTTATTGCCAGTTATGATTCTTCCACAACCTCTTCTATTGATTCTTCAGAATGCTTTGGGCCAATGGTGCAAGATGCACACTCTGGATCTGTATGTGCCTGTTATCCGGCGTCTTGTCATGTGTTTTTAGTCTTTTATTTTAGATTATGAAGTCACTTATCTGTGTTTGTAAGGTGCGATGTGAATTTAAAGTTCTACGTGTGTTTTAAAATAATTATACCAAACTCAGAACCTTTAATACAGTCACCAAACTAGTGAACTACAAGATCAGAGCTTCATTAAATATCTTTGTTACTATAGTCTGGAAGAGAAAGCTTTGCCTCTCTTGAAAAAGGGTGGTAGAAGAATTCTAACAAATGGGTGGATATTTTCTTTCATTAATATTAATAAATAGTTTCTACAGTTTGAAACAGCTGTGGAATAAAATGATGTGTATGTAAAAGTGTTTCTGAAAAAATATTGCCCACTGGCAACCTGTACAATTGACTTTTTCAGTACTATCCTAAGATAAGTATATAAAAATGAAAATAACTTGATCATTTTAAACTATTCCTCATGCTTGCCGTTGTTTTTGTTTTCCACCAATCTTTTGTTGGAGGAGTTGCGCTCTTGTGCCCAGTGTCTGTTTTTATTGATTCCTAACTTTAAAATATCTGTGCCAAAAGTGCTATATATGACTTCTAGGAGAACATTATATGAACATCATGACAAAATATGTCTTGTGCAAGTAAACTGAACCTTGACATCTGTTCCTTTAGATATCTGCAGTTTTGTTTGTTATTCTGTATTATACATCTACTGTAGCTGTGGCTTCATGCATACCCAATCTTTACAACAGTCTTGCAGTCTTTACTCAATCAAAATGTTCATTAAGGTTAATGTACACTTAGTCTGAAAAAAGATTTGTTGGATTGGGCCCAAACTTTGAATTTTAGTCACTTCACTTCATAATGGACAGAAGAAAATAAGAGCAATAATAAAGAGCCTTCAATTCTCTGAAATATTACCCCACTTTAATATGTGTAAGAAACTGAGATTTAGGGCCCAGGCTCCCACTGATGTCAATGTCAATGTCGATGGGCTCATACTGAGCATGAAAAAGTAGAATATTTGCTATGATTTAGCCTTTTTACCATTAATGGCACAAAAGATCCAGAGGCCATTAATTTTCTCCCTTCATTAAATAATCTACCAGTTTAGCCAGTTTCTAAAGTGAACTTCTCCCCCCGCAGCCTTTGCATTGGGCCCTTGTAAGGGGCAGGATGGGAATGTGGCCAAAGTGTTACTGTGCCCCAGCTATTCTCCACCGGTGGATGGCCTGTTGGGATCAATGGTCAACTGGCCTACTTTAAAGTGTGCAGGTCCAAGAACTGGCATCAGAAATAGGGAGTCTCAATATAGGCACAGTTAAGACACACAACAATGGTTCTGATTTAATGAAATCAGTTTAGAAACTGATGTAGTTAAATCAGCTCAACCCCCGAGTGTGGATATTCTGAAATAGAATTAGGAGTGTCTACAAAAAGGGGATGCACCAACTTAACTACATAGAATCATAGAATCATAGAAGATTAGAGTTGGAAGAGACCTCAGGAGGTCATCTAGTTCAACCCCCTGATCAAAGCAGGACCAATCCCAACTAAATCATACCAGCCAGGGCTTTGTCAAACCAGGAAACCTCTAAGGATGGAGATTCCACCACCTCCCTATGTAACCCATTCCAGTGCTTCACCACCCTCCTAGCGAAATAGTGTTTCCTAATATCCAATCTAGACCTCCCCCCACTGCAACTTGAGACCATTACTCCTTGTTCTGTCATCTGCCACCACTGAGAACAGCAAAGCTCCATCCTCTTTGGAACCCCCCTTCAGGTAGCTGAAGGCTGCTATCAAATTCCCCCCTCACACTTCTGCACTTCCCTCCGCCTCTCCTTATAAGTCATGTGCCCCAGCTCCCTAATCATTTTTGTTGCCTCTCTTACATACAGTGCAACTCCTCCGCCTTTTCTCCCCTGGCTGTCCTTCCTGAACAGTTTATACCCATCAATGACAGTGCTCCAGTCATGTGAGTTACCCCACCAAGTCTCTGTTATTCCAATCACATCATAGTTCCTTGACTGTGCCAGGACTTCCAATTATTCCTGCTTGTTTCCCAGGCTTCTTGTGTTCGTGTACAGGCACCTACTAGCCAATTGCCCTACTTTCTCAGTATGCATCAGGAGGCCTCCCCTGTTGCACCCTCCTCCTTGTGTTTCCTCCCGGTATCCCAGTTCCCCTATCTCTGGGCTTAAGTCACCATCCCCTAGCAAACCTAGTTTAAAGCCCCCCTTACTAAGTGAGCAAGCTTACATAAGTTGCTCCGCTGATTTTGGTAAATTAGTACCTTCTTTGGGTGCAGACAAGACCTAAAATTCTGCCTATTGAGAATAACTGATTCATTGGTTAACCTGATTGGGCAGCATTTTGAGAGTCTTTTATTTGTTCTTTTCAGAGTGGAATAAAGGGGAAAAAATTGAAATTACTTAAAGAATATGAACTGGGCAGGCTCCATGTTTAGGTAACTGGCACATTTGGACCCAATACCACAGTTCTTTCCTAGTCAAAATTCCAAGTGGCTTCATGGAAACATCTACAGGACTATTTCCTGAGTAGGGATGATAGGTTCAATACTGCAAGGTGCCGAGTGCGCTCTACTAAGTGCCCTCAACTCCCACTGACTTCGATTTGTTTTTGACTCACATTGATTTCAAACCCCTTCAAACTGAGGGTGATCTTTTAGGATCAGGCCTTGAACCTGGACTGCGGGACTGAGCACTTTATTGGTTATGTACACCAGTAACTAATGGTATTGTTTGTTTGTTTTTAGGGCACATTGAATCCCTATTGTGTGCTGTGGGATGATTCAAGAATGTAAGTGACAGATGTTTGCTTCTATTACTATGGATTAAATATTCCAAAACACGTAAAAATATTTAACTTGACAGACAGTCAACAGTGGTCATTATGAGGGCATGGAAAATGTGAAATCCCCAGAATGAAAATATTTCCTTTCCATGCTCTGCAGTCACATTGTAATGCAGGTTTGAAAGACAGTTTGGTTTTTTTCTGTTACTAATCCTGAATTAGCAGAATGTCTCACCAACAACTATCATAGAGTTTAAAGCCTGAAGGGATCACCAGATCATCTAATCTGACCTCCTGTATATCACAAGCCACCAACACCACCAAATGCCCACACACTAAACCCAGCAACCCAAATTAGACCAAAGTATTACAGACTACATGAGACTAGTCTGTTATGTGCCACATGAAGAGAATAAAAAGGACTGAGCTGCACCAGTCCCTGAGCTCCTGCAATGAAAGGGAATTGATTAACTGAGTGATACCCATGCGGCTGAAGAAGCTGAAGTTGCTGAAAGGTTTGAAATATGGGGAATACTGTGGGAGATATATTAGTCATCAGTGAGTAGGTGGGACCATCAAAAAGTCATGATAAGTACAATTTATTATGGCTCTGCAATTTATCACATGGATTTCACCACCATCTGGTATGCATGTATACGCACACTCTTTTATGAGACTGGTGCTTTTTGTCTTGCTTCTGCATGTAAACTGATCACTTACGAGAGGTCCAGAAAGCATTCATTTGCTCTATAGTTCCCCAAAACATTTTTCCCCAGTCATTTTTGGAAAAGGTAGGGATCTAGGGACTTAGTATTAACTGTGAGGGCATTTTATGATTCATGATGATTTTCTGTTGGCCTGGTAATTAGTTGTGTTTGGGGCATTTTATTTGAGTCCATTTGATTATATTATGGAATTTGTATTCTAATATTGTGAGTTTAAAATTAATGCAAAAGCTCCCAGCACACTGGACTGATTCTTATCATTTATAAATCTAAATAAATAAATATGTACAACATTATACAATTAGCTGGGTGACTTGAGTTGTTGGCTTGTTTTGTGTTTCATTTTGTTTTGTGTTCACTTTCCTCTAAAGCATCAGGAATTTGCTATTGCCAGAAGCAGGAGACCAGATATAATGAATTAATGCTCTGATCTACTGTTGCAAATCCTGTGGAGCTCTGTTGTGCTTTACTACCCAAATTTCACAAGAACTTTGGGGATCAATCCAACAAGAAAGTAGTCAGCATTTAGTAAAAGATGCTTAGCTAATCACTATTCCACAGCAACAAAAAAGGGTGCTTTAAATTAAGTGTTTTTCAGATACTGTATATGTTTGTCTTTAGCATCTGCATCAGGTAGCTATAATCGCTGAAATTTTTAGCCACCTTCATGGCAAATCTCCCAGATCTTAATCTCAGTGCACTACAGTTCCATGTGTAGTAAATTATATGTTTCTCTGGTGATGCTCTCAGTTTAATACATGCTCCAGAAGTGGGTGAAACTTTCTCGTCCTGGATTTTAAACATTCTGCACAGGCTATTGTTCAATGATTGATAGTTCTTTCTTCATACATTCATGGAGAAGCCCCAGAATCTATACTGTGAGCTGTTTGATCACATCTGGCTCTGCGTTCTTGTTGCATTTTTATGGTGCATCTTCCTTCTCGTATTCTTATTCTGTGGGTGTGTATATGTGGTATGTCTAATTGTTTGGAGAAATTATGTTTTATTTCATTCCTATTTATTGAGTAGAATTATATAACTTTTTTAATCTAGATAACTTTTTAGAAGGCTTTCCCTTTATCTGTCAATCAGGCTGACAGGCTTGCTGTCTGTCTATCTGCATCTAGTTATTGTTTTTGTATAACATTAAGACAGGTACAGCTAACTACATAAAGGATCATGGCATGAATTATATATGTGAAAATACAATTTCTCATAGTGGTGCAGCATTCATTTTGGCTGACACTTCCAAAATATGCAGTACCTCTCTTATGCTGATTTAGAATGGGGTTCTTTAGAGGTTTGGCTATTCCTTCAGTGTCTCCCCTTTCCCAGATGATTAACTGAGTATCATCAACAGTAGAATGTATGACAGTGGAAGTTTATTTTTTTCCTCAGGAATTTTTGTGACCATTTTAACCTCTGCATTTCATTCCAGTTTTGGCCTTCCATAAAATTTTGGGATGCTGAATGTTTTTCACATCAAAGCTTGTGAAAACATAGAAGGATTTTTTATTGAAATTCTGAGCTGAATTGGTCCACTGTCTGAAAGCTTTTGAAAAAGAAATCCTCTCCTCACCACCAAATTATTTGACATGAGCAAAAAAGAATCAGGGCACCCTTCTCAGTGTTCTGTGCCAGAGCCATTCGCAGATACAGTATCAGTGGTCTGAAAATTGGTCCACAAAGGGATTGCCATACTGGCTTAGACCAATGGTCTATCTAATCTAGTGTCCTGACTGGCACTGGCCTTCAGAGGAAAGTGGAAAAAAGCCAACAGTGATATAAATAGAATAAACTGTCCATAAGTAGGGCCCTACCAAATTCACAGTCCATTTTGGTCAATTTCAGAGTCATAGGATTTTTAAAATAGTAAATTTCATGATTTCAGCTATTTAAATCTGAAATTTCACAGTGTTGTAATTGTAGGGATCCTGATACAAAAGGGAGTTGTGCGGGGGATCACAAGGTTATTGTAGTGTGGGTTGTGGTACTCCTACCCTTACTTCTGCACTGCTGCTGGTGATGGCTCTGCCTTCAGAGCTGGAGAAAGGGGCTGCTGGCCAGGAGCCCAGCTCAGAAGGCAGAGCAGCCGCCAGCAGCAGCGCAGAAGTAAGGCTGGCCTGGTATGGCGTTGCCACCTTTACTTCTGCGCTGGTGCCTGCAGAGCTCGGCCCTCAGTCAGCAGCCGCCACTCTCCAGACACATGGTAGTATTGTCACCCTTATCCCTGTGCTGCTGCTGGTGCGACACTGCTTTCAGAGCTGGGCACCTGGCCAACATCCGTCATTTTCCAGCCACCCAGCTCTGAAGGCAGTGCAGAAATAAGGGTGGCAATACCGCAAACCCCCTAAAATAACCTTGTGAACTCCCTGCAACTCCCTTGGGTCAGAACTCCCAATTCGAGAAACACTGGCCTCCCCCCATGAAATCTGTACAGTATAGGGTAAAGGCACACAAAAGACCAGATTTCACGGGGGGAGATGAGATTTCACGGTCCATGATGTGTTTTTCATGGCCATGAATTTGGTAGGGCCCTATATATAAGGGATATTTTCATAATCTTTTACTCATCTGATCAAAGGCAATGTATCTTAATTTCAATTAGTGGTTTAATTATGCTCAGTAGGACTGGATGGGAGCTCAATATATCATCAGTCAAGTCCCCTGCACTCAGTTCAGGACTAAGTAATAACTAGACCATTCCCGGCAGGTGTTTGTCTATGCTGTTCTTAAAAGCTTCCAATGATAGACATTCCACAACCTTCCTAGGCAATTTGTTCCAGTGCTTAACTACCCTGGCAGCTAGGAAGGTTTTCCTAATGTCCAACCTAAACCTCCCTTGCTGCAATTTAAACCCATTGCTTCTTGTCCTATCCTCAGATGTTAACAAGAACAATTTTTCTCCCTCCTTCTTGTAACAACTTTTTATGTACTTGAAAACTGTTATCATGTCCCCTCTCGGTCTTCTCTGCTCCAGACTAAACAAACCATTTTTTTTCAGTCTTTCCTCATAGGTTTTGTTTTCCTGATCTTTAATTATTGTTGTTGCTCTTCTCTGGATTTTTTCCAATTTGTCCACTTCTTTCCTGAAATGTGGCATCCAGAACTGCACACAGTACTCCAGTTGAGGCCTAATCAGTGTGTAGTAGAGTGGAAGAATTACTTCTCATGTCTTGCTTATAACATTCGTGCTAATACATCCCAGAATGATGTTCACATTTTTTTTTGCAACAGAGTTACACTGTTGACTCATATTTACTTTGTGACCTACTATGACTCCCAGATCCATTTCCCATTTTGTATGTGTGCAACTGGTTGTTCCTTCTTAAGTGGAGTACTTTGCATTTGTCCTTATTGAATGTCATCCTATTTATTTCAAACCGTTTCTCCAGTTTGTCCAGATCATTTTGAATTTTAATCCTATTCGCCAAAGTACTTGTAACCCCTCCTAGACTGGTGTTGCAACCTCAGTAATGATAAGGATGGGGGATAGCAAGAAATAACAGCTGCAGAAGCAATCTGGTACATATGATGCTGATGCTGCAGCTTTTTCCGTGTCTTCTGAAGGGCCAGGGCACTTGCCTTGATACTGTTTCTCCATCCATTGTCAGCTACACTGGCCACTGACATTGAGTCATAACACTTCATTACCTTCCTGTTCTTTCCCACTATTAATGGAGGCTTAGTCATATGTTCACAGATTAAATGACATCAGAATTTCCCTCTTCATATTAGGACAACCATCAGCCTAGCCTCTAATTCAGATATCGGCTTCCCTGATTGATCAACCTTCCCAAATACATTTGTTAAACTAGAGCTAAAGTTGCACATCAGTTCTCTGGGGTCTACAAATAGAATTGCCTCACTAGGAGATGACCAGTGCTGCAGGAACTCTGCTATGACACCTGCCCCAGGCTCCCAGCATCTGTTTGTTACCCCTTGATAATGGTAGCTCTTTTGGAGAAATGACTATTTCTTGTTTTGTATGTAGAATCAACACTGATACTGCTGCCAACTCTCCATTTTGTGTGGAAATCCTCTGATGCTGCAACAGAACAGAGGAAATCTCTGATCTTTCTGGAAAAAACTATATTCCTTTCTGAACTGGAAATAATAGATGTGGAATCTCATATACTAGAAAAGTATCAGGTACTAAGGCTGAATCCTGGTGAGTCTAGATGAGGATAGCTTAGTAGCAAAAGGTCACTATACTCCAGCTTTCCACTCCTCCAATGCTGGAGCCATTCTGTTTAGGTCTGGTCCCCATTATAGCATCTG